TTTTCCGGCTGTTTGCTATCGAGACCGGCTAAATCTAGCCGGAAAACGGTTAAAATGGCAACGCTCAACGTGACATCAGTCAAGTGCAGCACCTGCCTTGGCTTGTGCCACTTTAGGGCATGTTCAGGTCTGCGCCCCACGGCAACGCTGAACGTGACATCAGTCAAGTGCAGCACTTGCCTTGGCATGTGCCACTTTAGGGCATGTTCAGGCCTGCGCCCCACGTGCGATTGGACGAGGAACTTCGAGGGCTCGTGTTGCGCCGCTCGGTTGCAAACCCCAATTGCGACGCCACCCACTACCACCACAAGGCTGCAACCTCCACAGCAGCGCACACAGCCAATGGCTGCAAGGCCTCACACATTTCTCCCACCCCGTATAACAACACGTCTCCCGAACCACATGAAGCTCCTTCAATTTAACTGTAACGGACTTCAGAGAAAGATCGAGGAGACAACCGTCTTTATGGGAAAGCATGGTGTATTGTTAGATGCGGTCCAACAGACGAAGTTGCACAGCAATTCAACGTTGTTGAGTTGTGCTGGATACAACGTGCACCGTCGAGATAGCGAGCGGGATAATAGTGGTGGCTTAGCGTTCATCACGCACCACACCGTGCAGTATCGTCTCATTGATGAGGGATACCACCTTTGAATGTCAGGGCATTGCTATCCGGTCAGGCGATGTTGAGCTTGAAATATTCAACGTGTACATACCCCCCGTCACCTGCTCTCCGGCAGGATATCACCCTGATATAGGTGCGCTCCTCAGAGGTGCAAACCGTATGGTAGTAGGTGACTTTAATGCACACCTCGATCTTTGGCACTCAAGCCTGTCAAACGATCGTAGGGGAACAGACATGGCTGAGCAGCTAGATGATTCGATATTCTGCATAATGAACGACGACGCACCCACCAGGAATATGGGCAGCTGCTGCAGCTCTCCAGACATAACAATAGCCAGTGCTGGTCTGATAAACAGCGTATCATGGCGACCTATGGTGACTTTGGCATCACACCATCTGCCCACAGACATCTCGATCGATAAACCAACTGACTTTGCTCCGCGGAACACCGGACCTATATCAACTTTTCTTTTCGCTGCGCTCCCCACACCAACCGACGTCCACCTTGGTGAACGTAAATTCCGCAGGGTTGTCACTGCTAGTGCAGCTCGCATCGTACCGGCAAAATGTATCACGGACCCCTGTCCAAATTTCCTTGCTGAAGCGGCGGTCCTATCCGATTAGCGTGACAACCTCCGTCAGACCGATCCCGGAAATCCCCGTATCAAAGATCTCAATGCGGAGATTCGGCAGCTTGTGAGCGTACATAAGCGGAAAAAGTGGGAAAAGCATCCGAACATGACAATGGTCACTCTCATCATCCCAGACATCTGGAAGGTGGGGAGAATGGTCCCACTGCTTAAACCGGTGAAACCAGCCCACAAAGGAAATTCTTATCGGCCGATAACACTCCTTTCCCCGGTAGCGAAGACTNTGGAAGGTGGGGAGAATGGTCCCACTGCTTAAACCGGTGAAACCAGCCCACAAAGGAAATTCTTATCGGCCGATAACACTCCTTTCCCCGGTAGCGAAGACTCTAGAGGCCTTGCTACTCCCGTATTTCACAAACCACTTGGCCCCAGCGAAGCAACCACATGGTTTACGTAAAGTGCACAGTACAACAACAGCACTTAACGCCACAAAAACTCACATAACACGTGGTCTTAACAGCAACCGCCCCTATGAGAGAACTATTCTAGTAGCGTTGGAGCTGTCAAAGGCGTTTGACACCGTTAGCCACTCCATGCTACTAGAAGATATAGAGGTCTCCTCTCTCCCACAGAGGCTCAAACGGTGGTCGGCGAATTATCGAGATATCGACACTCGTCGGCAATGTTTAGAGACAAATCGAGCAAACTTAGAAAAACAAAACAGGGGGTTCCACAGGGTGGTGTCGTTTCCCCACTACTGTTTAACTTTTACATTTCAAAGCTCCCTCAACCACCAGAAGGAGTCTCGATTGTCTCTTACGTCGTCGATTGCTCGAGCATGGCGACTGGGAATGGAATTGATGACTTGCGCTCGAAAGTAAACGGGTATCTCTCCGAGCTTTCTCGCTTCTTCACTGCAAGGAGCCTAACCCTCTCTACTATCTATCTATCTATTGAAAGAGTGCAGCATCAATATGCAGTTGATGCGCATTATATGCATTTATTCCACTTGCTGCGCATGTGTTTTGCTTAAGTGCTAGAGAGTCTAATATTGTTAGATCGGCTGTTATATCTCAAAGAATTGGGATATGAGAAAAGTTACTTGCTATCGGTATTTGATGCAGTTATATCACAGCGGCGTTTTGGCATTATCGCAGTGAAGGACGCGGATAGATGACGTCAATAATGTAGGCTACATGCTTGACAACATACCTAAACCCACAATTGTAAAACACCGGTTGAATGAGCTGCTGAATGAAATTAAAAGTAAACATATACATACAAATCCAATATGTTATTAAATAAATCGCTAATTACAGACAAGATAATTTGATTGACAATGTTTTATTTATGGCGTGTTTATAATTGTAGTGGCGTACGTATAGCAAGATGCATTGCATCTTAATAATAGCGAAAATAAAGGGCAAGATTGCCATACGTCGACGTATGTACAATGTACATACATATTTTTATTACTTTTAAGAAATTTTAGGTAATTCATACTTACGCATTTGTAACATGCTTTGCTTATATCTTACGGAGGTTATGTGAAACTGAATGTTTTAAAGATAAGGTTGGTCAGGTTTAGTCTGCTAATCAAACCATTGTTTTTGTGTGTACGGTTACTTGACATTTGATAACACCTTATTGCTTTATTTATACTGCTAATTTAAGTGCAAGTACATACACTTGTGATCAGCTAATTAAGCCATCAACATTTTGATAAATTTTGGCTATTTTTCTATCGTTTATTTAATGTTCATTATTTTTCCATAAAAGTCTAGCTCATTATATAACAAAGAAACAACTTAAGACTTGCACATTATTACCCTAGAATTTAATGGGCTATTAAACTGCATACTCAAAAATCTAAAAGATCTGAATAAACAGCTGAAAATCTAGCTGAAACTTTGCAGATTTTTCATAATTTTTGCACAAAATTTGAAATATGGATTTATGTGGTGTTTGTTACATAATGAGCTAGACTTTTATTGAAAAATAATGAACATTAGCAGGTCTGTTCTGCACGTTACCGAAGATTTTGTAACGGAAAATTTTACTATCAAAAAATGTTACCAGTTCTTGTCACCGCGTTGCTAGGTACTTTGGTAATGCAGTTAAAATATTCAGCAATTCAGTTATGAAGAATTGTGCAAATTCTGGCATTGCATATTTCATGGAGCAATACTTTGTTACTAGCTTATGAGATGGTAACAAAATTTACCGGTTACAAGAGTACACAGAATGCGAAAAGGGTTTAAAAATTTACAGGAACTTTATTTACCGGTTAAAAACCTTTTATTACCCGCGCAGAATAGACCTGTAAATAAACAAAAGAAAAATGGCCAAAATTCATCAAAATGTTGCTGGCTTAATTAGCTGATCACAAGTGTATAGAAATATAGACACGTTCTAATATAAGCACAAACCTGTGGGACTATTGAGTTTAGTGTTTCGGTTGAAGTGCAGTTGGGAAAGACGGAAACGAATGCGTAACGATTTTTGAATAAAATTTGCTAAAGGTAACTGCAATACAATGCTGTAAATATATAAATAAACGGGTATATACTTACATACATACTAATACAAACATCACCTAAGCAATTTAAAAATCGAAAGAAGTGCAATTGTGTGTAGTATTTAACCTATGAGCATGCGCATAAATGTTTTCCAAAACGAAATTAATGCATGTTTTTCGCAAAAAAACCTTTCTTAATAAAAAAAATTAAAAAATTTAGGCAAATCGGAAAATATAAAATAGACCAATTGAAAAATTAAAAATTTAATCGTCTCCTATTAAAGCTTTCAAGTGTCTTAAAAAAATGAAATGAAATAAAATAATTTAGAATATGTTAAACAAAAGAAATTAAAATAAAAATAATAACATTAGATTGGCGCTTACACATATGTTAGTGTTTGGACGAGAAACTCGCTCAAAAATTAAATTTAAAATAAATTAAAGAAAGACTCGAGACTAAAATACTCCCTCTCGAACTTATACATGTAGCTTAATTTAGAACAAAATGAGTAGCACCGTCAGCAAAAAAAATTAATCAAAACATTGAAACATGCGCTTTATTGCACTAATGAATTTTTTTTTTTTGGTTTAATTCTGGTTAAAAACTTTAAAATCTTGATGATGAATATTGAAAATTTTTAGAAATTTCGTATACAGTTTTAAACTTGGATTTACATATTTATGTACATACTAGAGGTTTACGCCGACAGGCTTTGCGGCGGCGGCGTGGTCAACTTCAAAAATATTCGGCGGCAGCGGCGAATGTTATGTCGCTCTCAATAAATTTTTGCAATAATCTTATCAACCGTTATGTTAAATTACGGAGTTCTTACGATTTTTTGCGGATTACATATTGAAAACAAGGTGTCTACTTGTTTTCCAAAAGTTTAACCCATCAACTCGAACCAGAACGGGCCTTTTAGACCGACTGTTGAAAAAAATTTCTTATAGATGGTTAGCATTTCCACTAAAATAAGAAGCGCCAAATTTTTCCAAGGAGAACCGAATGTAATGAAAAATAATACTAATGTTTACCATAACCCTGTGTAGAAAACCTTGCGATGCGAGGGAGCAAAACCTTCCTGGGGTTTGACCACCACTAGGGAATGCTAACGTAATTTTCACACAGCCACCTAGTACTTGTATACGTATGTGGGACCCCAGAATAAAATAACGTACGAATGTAAATATTAGCAAAAATGTGTTTGTTTAAAATATTTAAAAAAAAAATACATAGAAAAATCAACTTTTCTTTGTTTTATCTCCAATAATTGAGGAGTTAGATGCAAAGAGGCCGCTTCTATTAAAACTGCTTCTTGAGATATTGGCGTTAAAGTTTTTCATGTGTTATAACTTTATTGTTGTTGTAGTAGGTGTATAAAAAAGTAGTATTGTTGTAGTATTGAAAAGAATTGTCTACTGCGGGAATAAATCGTTAGATTACCAGTATTCGACCCTAATTTAACTGTAATAAACGCTTTCGTCGAAAAATATGTTAGCTATGTTTTTTCAAAGTTAAGCTCTTATTGTAAAAATAAAGGAGATCATATTATTTTCCACTGGCCCAAATTATGCAAAAGCAACTCCTTTAAAAATGTAAAATTGTGTTTTTATACTAGTAGTATTTAGTTCCTTCAGACGATGTATTTCAATGTACATACATCATGAAAATTTTGTACAAAATTCCTTAGGCGCCGAACGCCGCCGCCGCCGCCGCGCCGATATTTTCGTAACTCGGCGGCGGCGTGGCTCGGCGGCGTATACCTCTAGTACATACCAGTGGTAGAATCTGAAAAAAAAATGTGGTGGATTTCAAAAAAATGTGGTCGATCTTTGGTTTTGGATCAAACTTTGTACAAAAATTAAAAATATTCTGCAAGGTTTCACTTAAATTGCAAACATTTTAATTAGAATCTAAAATAAATTTATTTTAGTATAATAAAGTGCAAGATTTAAGTTTCTAAAAATTCCATTGAGTTTTGGCAATTTTTTTTCCTTGAGAGTGTAAAGCAGTTCCTTTCATATTAGTGTAGTAAAGTGTTTAGATTTACCTTGGTCTTCATTTTTGCCTTTATCTTTACGCATCTTTGTTTTTGTTGTTATTTTTACCTTTGCCTTTATCCGTTTCTTCATTTATGTACGTAATCACCTTTACTTTCGTTCTTGTATTGGTCTTTTTCTAAGTGTTATTCTTTAACCTTTTGTTAGCAAATACACATAAGAAGCACTTGTTGCAGCCCCAACCATTTCCGTTGCACCATTTCCGTTGCATCATTTCCGTTGCATCATTTCCGTCCCAACCAGATCCGTGTGCAATTTCCGCTGAATTTGCCAATTTACTCTCAACCAACCAACCGCCGCTAAAGAAGTTTCACTTCAAAAAATGTGGTGGATTTAAAAAAAATGTGGTAGATCTTTGGTTTTGGATCAAACTTTGTACAAAAATTAAAAATATTCTGCAAGGTTTCACTTAAATTGCAAACATTTTAATTAGAATCTAAAATAAATTTATTTAAGTATAATAAAGTGCAAGATTTAAGTTTCTAAAAATTCCATTGAGTTTTGGCAATTTTTTTTTCTTGAGAGTGTAAAGCAGTTCCTTTCATATCAAGATATTTTTCGAACATATTTTGAAAGATGTCTGCAACCTAGCGGAGTGCTGCCAGTTTTTCTTTTTATCACATCCCGATGTAGCGGACAAATGTGGCACGTTCCAGAAACCGCTACTTGGGATTTGCTGGGTGTAAAATTTATAGAGTGACTAATTATTATGACAAAATCAGCTTTGTCGCATCACATTCATTTCTCGGAAATAAAATGTTTCCCTTCAGAAAATATTCTGCCTTTTAAAGCTGGGTTATGCAAGGCTTAGACTTGACTTGACTTACCTAGAAACTTAGAAACGATTATTCAGCGTGTCACCTATTACCTTTTCTTTTTCTTTTGAATATCAGCACTTGTATTTGTACACCTAAATTGCAAACGTTTAATTTGTCTTTACACCAGAATGAATACAAAATTACCAGTAAAATAAATGTATTTACGCGTATCGAATTGTGATTGTTTTTATTATATTTTCTGTCTTTATTTGAAAGTTTGTTTTTCGATTGCCAGATGAATTACATATATACAAAAAAATTTATTTATGTGGCATATTTGTAGGGATTTTATTAAAAAATGAAATGGCAGCATGATTCTCTCAGGGCTCTCTTTGCACTTAGAAATTTAACTTAGAAATCAAAAATCTATAGTTCTCCAAGTTTCTAAGTGAAGCTGTTTTTTTGGGTAACTACATACACGCGCTGCTCATTTGCCAGATACACAATTTCCAAGTCAAGTCAAGTCCAAGTCTTGCATAACTGAGCCTTTATCCTGAAGAAAAAAAATTCACCTGAAAATTTGAGTGAGTGAAAAGTGAACCGGTTCAGGGAAAATGAAACTCATGATAAGGTTGATTTACTTTTTATCCAGCAGATTGATTTTCTTAAAAAGTTTAGTATGCTCCTTATGTTTTTGTGTTAAAAATTGCTCTATAACATAACTTAGTTCATTGCTGAATCAAAAATCTTCAAGATTCCTCACTAAAGAGCGCAGTAAGAAGGAAGAGCTGAGATTCCTAGACCTTAATCACCCTCCAGTTGCCGCAGAAAATATTTATCTCAGTAAAGCAAAGGCATTGCAAGTATTCAAGTAGATTCCGCCAATTCTCTCATCTCAAGGGCACCAAAACAGACTGCGCTTAACACGTTAGCTGCCCTATTAATCGCCAAAGCTTGCCAAGTTCTACGCGAATAATGATTTAATAAACTCATCCGTAATGTTGGTAGCAACGAAGAGTTTCAGCATAATCCCGACAGCGGGGGAATCCGCGTCCATTAGCATAATTAGCACAATCTTTCAAAAGCTCATAAAAGCCCCGCTGAAATTCTAGAGCCTAGTTCCTTTTGAAACTACACCGCTATGAATCGCTCTCTATCTAAGCTGTTTTTTATTCGCCTCGACGTTACTTCATTAGTTGGCCTGGTGTATACTTACTTACAATAACGCTTGGATCCGAACAGTCAGGTATTGACACTGTAACTATTTCTTCCAAAAAATATTATAATTATAGAGAATGCTTAAGACCAGTGGTAGGCATTTGCGAAGTTTTCACACGTACACTATAAATTTCTTCCTATTGCGCAAGACACTTGCCGATCGGCTGTTGCTTTGCTCGTCTTCGGCACTGCAATTCAAAGCAATTGTTGTTCAGCATGTCTTCCCTGCTTCACGCAGAACCGGCACATTCGCGAGGACCACTGAGCATATCCGCATTTCTCCCTAATCTAAACCATACATCATTTCGAAAAATTACAGTATAAACTAGCCACAGTGTTTACCTACTACCTGTAGATACCATGGTGTATATTCGAAGCAGGGATGTTGCGAATATTTGCATTTGCATTCGTTATGCGAATGATTCGCATCATTTTACGCATTCGCATTCAAAATTCGCATTCGCATCGAATGATACGAATATTTTGCGAATGCGAATGTGTACATGGGCCGCGAGTCCATTCTAATATTGTTGAAATGGCTGTAAGTCTGTCTAACCAGCTTCAGGCACTAAGCGGTTAAGTAGTATATAAAGCAACATTTGGTGGGCTCTCAACAAGTACTGCTAAAAGTCTTATAAGTAACCTATAAATAATAATAGAAATAAAGCCAAATTACTTTTTTTTTAATATACTATACGTCTTTTGAACTTTGACTACTAGATTTAAACACTTTATAGGTTAAGTACTCGTTCAATGTTCTAATAATTTACAAAATTTTTAAGTAATGAAAAGGATGGCTTAAGTTGATTATAGCGTTTTTAATATTATTGCTAACATTCGCATTCGAATGTGAAAAATATGACATTCGAAACATCCCTAATTCGAACGAAAGAAAATTAGTTGCGTTCCTCAAATTGTCTGGATAAAACCTGTAAAACTGTCAAAAGGCAAAAGAAGCCAGAGAACC